TCCTTTTGCACAGTCCCCCCCCCCAAAAAACAGACGGGAAATCTGCTTTTTTCCACAAGCACTTCCCACACTTGCAATTTGATCCTTTTGCCCTCGACTTCCACCGTCCGGATTTTGAAGTCAATCCCTGCGTGGAGGAGGGGGGAGAGAAGCAGCGTTGGGGGGTACGCACAGCTTGCCCCCCCGGCCCGGTGGAATAATTTCCGGCTGGTCCTGAGTTTGGGGGGCCCCTCTCCAATGCCATCAGGGGGGCATTTCCCAGCCGTGTTGGAGGCGCCAATCTTTGGGGCGCCGAATCAGAGCTCTGTCGTGAAGCTTAGCCCCGACGTCTAAAACTCCGCGAAGATTCTAGTCCTCATGGTGTTTGGGTTTTTTTTTTTAAAAAAACGGGGGGCTGATTGAAAGGGAAAATGGGACATTCCTTTTGACCAAGTCTTCAGTCTGACTTGCTTGGGTTAAAGGCACCCCAAGGCCTCTTCCACCCCAATGGGGACCCCGGGAATGGAAGAGTGGGGGTCCCAATGCTCCCCAAAGACACATTCCCTCCAAAGCAGCGGCTTCTCATCATCCCAATTCTTCGAACCGTTGCAAAGGGGCGAGAAGCGCAAATATCAGGGGGGTTCCCCCTTCCCGGGCTGGCCGGCCAGAGCCAGACCCTCGGGGGACCCTGCCTTGCCCCCTTCCTCCGTCAGGGCGGTCCAGGGGGTTCCTCCTTCCCAGCCCATCCTCCCCAGTCCACTGCCGGCTGGTGGACGTGCAGGACGTCAGAGGGGGGGGAGAGCCCGGGATGCGGGGGACTGGCAGCCGGGCGGGGAGGAAGCGGAGGGAGGCCAGCACTGCCCCCCTGCCCCAGACGCCGGGCAGCAAGCGGCCGATCCTGCTTTTTGGGGAGCCGGGGAGGGTCCCGGGGGCGGGGCAGCCCCCTCCTCACCAATGGTGCTGATGTAGGTGCCGCTGAAGCTGTCTTCGGAGAAGCGGATGATGAGGCAGGTCTTCCCCACCCCGCTGTCCCCGATCAGGAGCAGCTTGAAAAGGTGGTCGTAGGATTTGGCCATCGCTGCCGGGGGTCCGGCCCGGGCACCTCTCCTCCCCGGGGCTGGGCTGGGCTGTGACGTGGGGAAGGGGCGCCTCGCCCGTCCTGGGAAAAAGCAGAGCGAGCCACTCAGGAGCCGGGAAGAAACTTTGGGGAGGAGGGGCTGAAGTTTTCCTTCTTTCTTTCTATTTTTTTTTTCCTCTGCCCTCCTCTCCCTGCCCTCCTCTTCCTCCTTCGTCCCCGCCGGGGCCGCCCAAACCACTCCCCCAGCAGCTGGGCGGCCGGGCCGGGCCAGAAGCAGCCCCCCCAAGGCAGGGAGGGGTTGACCCCTGACTCAGAAGGGGGGAGGAACCATCATCCACCGCTGGGTCCCTGGGAGTCCCAGGCGCTTCATTCATTTGCAGAGGAACGGGAAAGGGCGCCTCTGAGCATGGGCCAAGTGCCTTCTCCTGGCGGAGGAGGGAGGGAGGGCAGCCTGGTGCAAACATCCCTGCCCACGGGGGTGGGGGGGGCTGACTTGCCACCTCTTCTTCCTGGCCACATCCCTTTTTGGAACCAGGGCTAGAAATGTAAATTATAGGAGGGTTTTCCAAGGATGAAACGTGGAGAGGAAGAGGAGGAACGGGGTGGGGAGGAAGATCTCAGCCCGTGATCCCTGCGATTTAAAGGGATTTAAATTCAAGCGACACGTCGGGAATTATCGACTTATTGCAACGGGTAAGCGACCTGTCGACATCCGTCGGTCAGAACCCAGCGACGTCTTTCTTGGCATTTATTTGAATGACGGGCAAGAAACTCAACCCTTCGTTTAAAGTTATTTAAATTCACAGGCCGCCCCATTCCGAGGGGCTCCGGGCAGCGCACAAAACTAGAGGGGGAAGAAAGCATAAAAGCTGCGGGCAACGTTGGAACGGGCGGCAGCCCAGGTTAAAATGATCAGCCAAAGAGAACGGGGGCCTTCGACAGTTGATCAAGGTCAACTCCCCCCAGGCCCGGGACCAAAGCCAGGTTTTCAAGGTTAATGGAACTGCCATGTCCAGGAGCAGTCTACCTCAGACTTGAAAGGGTCGCTATCTCCAGCTGCCTGCAGGCGAAGCCAGCTTGGTCTAATCCAGAGAACGGTTAGCCTCTCTTGTTTCCTCCCTTCGGCAAATCTGTTTGACCTCCATGTGGACTGCTGAGTTGCTCAGGGATTTGACTGGGGGCAAGCCATGCAAGGGTGAGATTCCCACGGTCAAAAGACCTCTGTTGGTCTTTGGGCAGGCTGGCCGGGCTGGACAAAAACTTTGCTCTGCTACCGAAGCCCGGGAGATGCCAGCCCGGGTTCAAATCCTGTCTTAAGCACTGAGCTCAGTCCCACCTCACAGGAGTGTCGCTGGGGTAGAAGGAGAGCTCCTGGAGGAACCTTTGAGGACTAGAAGCTTGGCTTCTCATGGCGCGAGCCCCAAGCAAAGGGCAGGTAGTTTTGCGGTTGGGAACCTGTTGGGACCCATGAGGACTAGGGCCTTGGTTTGTCCTTAGGGGAAGGGCAAGCGTTGACTGGGACGATGGGGCATCTGCAGCGCCCCAAGTGTGTGTGTTGGGGACAGCCAGGCATCAACCTCTTTCTCAGCACAGCCTACCCTGCAGGGCTGTGGGGAGGACAAGAGGGAACAGAAACCGCGCCGCTCGCCCTGCCGTTGGCGCCGACGGATCCCTCTCAAAATGGCTCCCCAAAGGGGAAAGGGCTGCCCTTCCCAAGAGGGCGGCCACGCAGGCCCTTGCCTCACAAGATGGCGGCCTGCTGGCGCGCGTTGCCCCGCCCCGCCCCGCCCCGCCCCT